TAAGGCTGCTGCTAAGAGGGCGTCGACGTCGTCTCTCGAGGGGATAAGCTACGGAGATATGTTTGGGCGTCAAGATGCTCCGGGTTCATCCTCGTCAGCTCCCGATTCATCTTCGATTCCCGAGACTCTGAGAGCTTCTACGGCGTCACGGCAACCACCACCACCTCCTCCTCCTCCTCCTCCTCCACCGGTCGGGATTCATCCCGATTTGCAGGTGCCGCCGAACGCACCCTTTGCGGTGTACACGGTGGAGGATATTTTGGCCCTTCCAGGCAGAGAAGGGCTGGCAGAGTTAGATCCTTACCGACGGGACGGCCAAAACATTTATGGTATGTTTTAATTTTTTTTTAAAAAAAAAAATTATTTCTTAATTAACAAAATATTTAGAAATTAATCTAATTAATGATTTATTTTGTGTCTTTCCAGGTTTGGTTGTGACAATAGTGTCGGATCTAGCGTCACAGACTGTATCAAAGGATACTTTCCCGATCCAGCTCCAAACTGGAAGATGACGGCGAGCCACACAAAAAAAGACGTGGTTCAAATCGTTCGCTGTAAGTTTAGTTCGTTAATTTATTTTTAATTATTTAAAATTATTAATATAATTGAACTAATCCGTCTTTTATTTTTTCTGGTTACAGCAAAAGTATCGTTGGTCTATTGGGATTCACCAGCGAGTGAAGAAGGAGTTTGAGGCTAAGGCAAGAGCACGATTGCTCGACATGGTCTACAACTGGAAGGGCGACTATGAGGTATAGATTTATAAATTATAATATATATATAGTTTTAAAAATAATATATATTGACTTTAATTCTAATTTTTTAAAAAAATCAGGTGGATGGTTACGAGGCCGGGAAACCCGATTGCCTCACAACCACGGTGTGGGATGGCCTCATCAGTTATTGGGGGTTGCCGGACTCGGTCAGAACCTCCAACACAAACTCCGGGAACCGCATGACCAAGGACGAGCATGGCAACACGAAGGTGCTTCACACCACGGGTCGAAAACCTCACGGGGGAGTTCGTCTAGACATGGTAAAATGATTTTTAATATCAATTTAATTTTTATTTTATTTGAATATATTCCAAATTAATATTTAATTTTATAAATTAATTTTAGGCTAAGGAGACAGGAGTTCTTCCATCTCTGAAAGACCTTTACGAGAGGACCCACCGGAACAAGGCTGGGGAGTTTGTAGATCCTGCTTTCGAGCGGATCTACAACGAGCTTGTTGCCCGAGTTGACGAACGCCAGACCCAGCTGACTCAGCAGACTGGGTCTCCAGTCATATTATCCACTGTTGACGTGGATAAGATTTACGAGGAGGTAAATAATTTGTTTTACTATTAATTTTTAATATTTTTTAAATTTTTCTTAATGTTATTAATATTTTTATTTTCAGGTCGCNAGATTTACGAGGAGGTAAATAATTTGTTTTACTATTAATTTTTAATATTTTTTAAATTTTTCTTAATGTTATTAATATTTTTATTTTCAGGTCGCCCCTAGGAAAAAGGGGCGTATCATCGGGATTGGCTCGGTTAACGATGTCCCTGCAGCGACATCGTCTTATCATCAGGAGCAGCACGATGTCAATGTTCAGCTGCACTCAGAGTTGCAGGCGACGCAGTCTCATGTGACTTTGCTCACCGAGCATGTCACTTCTCTCACCGATATCCTCGACATTATGGCGGTTGGAAACCCGCAAGTGCAGGAGATGTTGCGTCAGAGACGGGAACGTGCAGGAATTCCAAGTACCCAAGATCCTCCGCCATCACAGTCACAGCCGGCAACCAACTATGGAGAGGATTTGCCGAGCCAGGACGACGACCGGTTCGTTCAGCAATTTCACGACCAGCATCCGTAGTTTCTTTTATTTTTATTTGTATATTATGAATTTAAAAACTTTTTGTATATTATTTAGTTATTTATAAAATATTTTGTTTTTATTTTTTTATTTATAATTTGATTTTTTTTTGTTTTTAAAAAATAAATTAATTATTTGTAATTATTTTTTTTAATAGGAAAAAAACATTTCCAAAAAAAATCCTCGTAAAGTATTCCAAGTAATGTCTTCGTAAACGGTTCTAGTAATTTCCTCGTAATATATTACTACGACCTTACGAGGAAATACTTACTACGAGCTTACGAGGAAAGCTTACGAGGACCTTACGAGGAAAATATTACCACGCCTTTACGAGGAAAGCTTTCCTCGTAAATACGCTAGGACCTTACGAGGAAAATGACTTTACGATGAACGTGTTTCGAGAAATGCGTTTCCTCGTAATTTCCTAGTAAAAGGTCATTTACTAGGAAATAACGAGGAAAATCGTCCTAGTAATGGACGAGTTTTCTTGTAGTGTTTCTGGTACATATACTACATAAATTATATTATAGTATAATTTTGTCTATTTTCTATGACAATTATATTATACAATACGTTTCCAGTTATGTTATTTAACCAAGATGAGTGTAATGCTACAAATATGTCATTCTCCTCATTTTCACGTGCATGCGAATGAAATGAACAAATGGTCAAATTTTGGCACAAATTATCACATCAACTTTGTTATGAATATATATGTTTTATTTTAACATTTCTTATGAATGTTGAGCAAATTGTTCTTTTTATATCAATTTTATATATAAGTTTACATATTTTAACATTCCAAGGTTTGTTTTTTTTTTGATGAAATTTCAAATTTATTGATAATAATCAAAAGAATTGACATTTATAATATGAGGAAAAAGAAGAATTATACTAGCTAAGACTGAACTGAATAAAACTATTATGATGTTAAAATAGCAACGCAAAATTATGTTGTAATCTCAAACCATCGTCTCAAAAGGCCCTCTAATTTGCTCCCATGCCGGTACCCGAGAGAAGAGATTATATTCCTCGTGGATTTATCAATCAATTGAGCTAGTTTTGCCATCGGTATCTAAGTTTTGCCATGCCTCCGCGTATTCCTTTCTCGACAAAATATGATAGAGTGTTGCCTGGAATACCAATTTCTCCAACACTTTATCAAGACTGGAGCCTCGATCACCCTGCAATCTATCCAACGTGTCCTGCCAGTCAGGGGTAATACGATTACCTAGCAGCCTTCCAGTCACTGTTACCCACACCATATAACTGTACGGACAAGCGAAAAAGAGATGATCTCTTGTTTCCTCCTTCTCCCCGTAGAGCATACAATCCTGTTGCATACCCCAAGCCCTCATACGATCACCAGTAGATAAGCGATTCTTGACCGCCAGCCATGTGATGAATGAGTATCTTGGGGCAGCCTGGGAAACCATACCACCTTACTCCATACAACCTTATCTCGTCGTAACCTGATCTGCTCTCAGGTCCTACTAGCTGAAAAACATTCCTGATGATCATCATTCGCATGCTTCCACAGAACTATGTTAGGACCAGAATCGCTCTGAGGAACAAGATGATCCCTTAGCTGCATAATAAGGTCTTGAAATACTCGAGTTCGCCCTCCTCCAACTCTCCAACGTGCTTGATCAGTATAATCACAAACCTTTGCATGACGCAAAATGCCAAGATACCGCGTACCTTGCGCCCCTGTAATATCAATAAGTCTTCCTATCTTCAACCAATTTTAAAACCAAAAGAAGACTAATTCACCATTTCAAACCTCGTGACGAATAAACCGACAAGCAACCTCCTGAAGTCTTAACAATTTCTTCCAATTCCAAGATCCCTGAGCATTTTCCTTCACATCCCAGAAAGAACTATTACGCAAAAGATAGACTTGTATCCAAGGTTTCCAAAGCGAGTTGCCTGTAAACAGACGCCATATCAACCTTAGTGCAAAGACTCGAGTGGAATCACGGAGACTTCGTAACCCCAATCCACCTTCTTCTCTAGGATAACACAAATCCACCCATGATAATTTTGCACTATGAGTTTGAGTAACTGTCCCAGATCAGAGAAAAGGGCTACAAAGACCTTCTATTTTATCAAGATAGCCTAAGGGGAGGATGAAAATAGAGCTCCAAAAATTGATAATACTATAAATGACAGATTTAATGAGCTGTAACCTGTCAGCATAGGAGAAGCTCTTGTTTGCCCAAGATAGTAACCGAGTTCTTATCTTATCTATCAAAGGTCAACGGGAGTCCAAGATATCGAATAAGTAAAGAACCTACTTCTATACCTCTCTCAGCTGCTGCCTTCCAAGGTATACTATACTATCTGCTTTAAAACAAATTAACTATATTATTTTTTTATTCATAAATATAAGAAAAATTAAATTCTTATTATTTAATAATTTTTCTGGGTTATTTTGTTTTCTGTGATGAACATATGGATTTCGTATTCATTTAAAGTTGTTAAGGTCTAATCAAATGATAGTTTTACAATTTATAAGCTCTTTTCATTGATAATGAAACAAACTGAATTCAGAACAAAGGAATGTTAAGCGTCTCTATAAATATCTTTAACAAATGGTTAAAAGAAATCTTTTTTAGTTTTTCGTTTAATTTTTAATTACTTGTTATAGATAAATTTTGAACACTTGTTAATATCTAGAGTAATATACCCAAATATTTTTTTGAAAAAGATTACGATATTATTAAGTTAGATTTGTTTTAATATAATAAATAAAAATTGAGGAAAAAAAGAAAAAAAAAACTCATTCTAGCATGATAAACAAAATAATATTTAAAATATATAAAAATATACGATAAATAAATTGTAACATAAAAATGATATAAGGATAGTTTTCATTTATATATAAAATATATTATTAATAATGTAATAGTAAAAATCGAAATTTCTGAATAATTATTGATATTTAAATGCTTTGTGTATTTTTAACATGAATTGTATCATGGAAATTAATAATTAAATTTTTGAAAAGAGATTGAGAGAAATCTTGATTCTATTGAAAAAAAAAGAGAGAAATCTTGATTCTGTTAGGGTGGTGTGTATATATAGGACTGCGCAAATGAATGTGAAAGGTCTCAAGAAAGATTGTTACTGTATAATAGTAAATACAACATTTTCCCATCCTATAATCCACAGAGGAAGAAACAGAGAGACTCAATCTTCGCCGGGAATTTCGTCAATGGAGCCCGACGTGGTAGAGATCCCTCCTCCCATGTTCCCTTCGGCTTCTAGAACTCGAAAAGCCAGAAAGGTTCCTCTCTCCTTTTGTACGGTTAAATGTGTTTAACTGTGCCCAATTTTACTGACTTACCTGGAAAAAAAAAGTGAACTCTTATCCTCTTAGGGTTTATGTTGGTTTTGGTTAACTCTTGAGTTTTGTTTGCTCACTTACTGACTCTCTTTACCGTTGGTAAGTTTACTGATTTACATGGAAGAAAATGAAGCGTGATAAACATGGCTTCTATGGTTATCTCTGTGTGTATTTAGGGTTTATGTGGAATTTCCGGTTTGGTTACTCACGTTTACAATGCTTCTTCCACTGTTTTTGTTTTCTCTTAGCTAGATTCACTTGTTTGAGGAATATCAATTGATTTATATATTTGCTTTGATCTTGTTGTAGGCTGGAATTCCTGAAGTGATCGATGTGGAACAATATGAGTTCCGCAATGGTGTTGGAAATAACAGTAGTAACCTTGTCGACAAGAAGAACAAAGGGAAGGCCATACAAGACGGCTCTTTCTATGATCATAACCCGTTTAGTCATTTGGCTAATGGAGAGACTGGTGTAGAAGTGGTTATGTCTACTACTCAACCTTGGGGGTTTCCGAATTCTAGATCAAGAAGAAGCAGTTCTAGATCTTTTTTTAATCGTGATACTCCTGCTAGCTCTTCTCGTCCTAGAGCACCTGTGGAGGTTGTTTCTTCAGCTCAGGCTATCTTTCTGAGGGACTTTAAAAGGTTTGACACTGTTGAGAATTTCTCAGATCATCACTATGCTTCTATGGGAAATGCTTCAAAGCAGGTGATGGTTACATTCTGTATACAGGATTGTTTCTTTAATTGTTACCCTTGATATTCAAACTTTTATCTGCCTCTCTTTTATCTTTATCAGCACTCAAAGACTTGGGTGAAGAAGGTTCAAGCAGACTGGAAGATTCTTGAGAATGATTTGCCAGGTTTGGTGTATATACTAATGCACATCAATGCTTGCAACATTTGTATTAAAACTTCATTCCTTTTTTTTTTTTTTTTTGAAAACAGAGACAATATCTGTGAGAGCATGTGAATCAAGAATGGATCTTATGAGAGCTGTAATTGTTGGAGCCGAGGGGACTCCTTACCATGACGGTCTTTTCTTTTTCGATATTCACTTCCCTGATACCTATCCTTCAGTGCCTCCAGTAATGTCCTCAAAAACTACTTTCTCAGTGTGTTCTTTAATTATTGGAACACTTAATAACTTTTGAACTTTTCATTTTTGTTGGTGATAGATGGTTCATTACCATTCTGGTGGGCTTAGAATAAACCCGAATCTGTACAATTGTGGTAAGGTATGCTTGAGTCTTCTTGGTACCTGGAATGGTAACACTAGAGAGAAATGGCTCCCACAGGAGTCCACAATGTTACAGCTTCTCGTCTCAATTCAAGCACTCATCTTGAATCAAAAGCCGTACTTCAACGAACCTGCCTACGGTGGAACCAAGGGGACTAAATCAGGCGAGGCTCATTCCAAAGTTTACAGTGAGAACGTGTTCATATTATCGTTAAGGACGATGGTTTACAGCATGAGAAAACCACCCAAGGTAAAAACATCTGGTCAAACTTCTTTTTTTTTTTTTTGCCATTGGCTTGTTATATGAAACTGTGGTTGTGGTTTATGTGCAGCACTTTGAAGAGTTTGTTCGTAGCCATTACTTTGAGCGGGCTCACGATATAGTGAAAGCTGCCAATGCTTATATAGACGGAGCTCCACTTGGTTCCATAGTTAAAGGTGGTGTCCAAGACATTGAAGAAAGTAGTGAGGGCGGGTCCATGAAGTTTAGGACCGATGTGGCTGTCTTTATGAAGACAGTTGTAGAAGAGTTGGTTAAGTTAGGAGTCAAGGAGCTTGAAGATAAACTGAAACCACCACCAGTGGTTAATGCTAACACAGAGAGTAACTGTAAGAGAAGCATATCATCGAGGTGAGCCAAGTCCATTTTTTCGTGTTATTTTAAATTTTTAATTATCTCGGAGTAGTAGAAAGAACTCATCTTCGTATGATTTTTATTTTAGAAGCTGAGAAGTAATTCTCATTGTTTGTTGACTTTTTTTTCTTTTTTTTTTTTGAGATTGTTACCATTTGGATTTGATTGATTACTTTTATATTTTAATTATTTTTTCAAAATTTCTGTCAACAGGTTGATTGTTTATATTTGTTGTTTTCTTGTTGTTGGTTATTTGGTGATTACATCAAAGAAATTCCCGCGAATATTGGACGCTGCCTCTCTAGTCTCTTCTAACACGGACGGAGTAGGATACTAGGAAATTAAGGTTTTTTTTTTAATCTTTACTATGTGAACAAGTGGTTTATAATTATTTATTTAGGTTTTAAATTTTTTTTGATAACCCAGTATCCGACCATTAGCCCACCGGGCCAAAGTCCATGCCATGACAGGATTTTTAAGCGTCCACTTAAGGGCCCCTGGTTACGTTAAGTGGTCTGGAGCGCCACACCAACTCCGCATGTAAATTATGTGGTGGCCGGGGTTCGAAGTCGGATGGCGGGCACCTCATCCGAGGTTCCTTTACCACTAGGCTACGAAGCCCGGTTAGGTTTTAATTTTTACGTTAACGATTTTGATTTGCAAAGTTCAGAGATTTCAAATCAAAACAAAATAATCCTTTACAGGTACTAGTTTGTTTGCTATTCTCTTAACTGTCAAAGACGATAGATATTAGGTAATATTCGATATGAACTGTAGTCTAAACTATTATCTGAATTTTTAGGTAGCTTTTTTCCCAATTTTTGAATACATTTGGATAGTTTTTTTTGAATGATTTTGAATATTAGGTAATTTTTATCCAAACCAAATTCAAAAATCTAATTCAATTTGATCCAAAATTTTAAAAAACTCGAAGGAGGCTTATGAATGTGGTAACAAAAATCATAATATATATGCCCTTTTCGGAAAAAATAAAAATCCTAAAATATGAACATTCACTCCTAGTTATGTGTTTAGTTTCAATTCTCTGTTCTAGTAGTTTCTATAGTTCTGTTAAAAAAATTCTATAAAATTTGACATTTTACTGGAAAAAACATAAATAAAACCCTGTAACTAAATTCAGTTGACAAAAAAAAAACCTGTAACTGAATGATACCCCCAAATATTTCATGAGCTCCACCGGCTACTGGAGCTGATCTTTGTTAAAATAAAACTTTTAGAGAGAAAAAGTTTTTTTTTTCAGAATTTAAAAGTTATATGAATTTATCCGAAATAATTAGGAAGATAAACAATGACTTTAATGTGATCGATTACTGAAGGGTTATGGTTTTGAAAACAACAGTATTGAACTTTTTCGAAAATTTGATTTATAAGAAACTCAATTATTTTCGACATTTTTAATTACAAAATGTTATTTTTATTTTTGGGTGCAGCTCTTTTTCCTTTTCATTTGTTATTTGAATAATTTATGAGAAATTCTTGGGTTCACCCCAGGAGTCAACCTCTAGGTTCACCAACCAATAGAATTTCATTGTTTTATATTTTATATCTTTTAAAAAAGAAAAAAATATTATAAAATTAAATTATGTTATGTTTTTAAAATTAAAAAATAAAAAATAAATAAAAAATAATAGTATTTATAAATAAAAAACGTTTAAAAAAAATATTTTTATTACCACCAGCAAAACACTAGAGCCTAAACTCTAAATCTTAAACCCTAAATCCTAAATCATAAACCATTGGGTAAATTCTCAACCCTTAGACTAATCTTAAACTATAAAATTTATGATTAATCCAAGGGTTTAGAATTTACTTAAAGGTTTAGGGTTTAGAGTTTACTTAAATGTTTAGGGTTTAGGATTTAGAGTTTAGTGTTTTGCTGTCAGTATCAAAAATATTTAAATCATAGATTTATCCAAAGATTTAGGATTTATCCAATGGTTTAGGGTTTAGGACTAGGGTTTAGCGTTTTGCTCACGGTGTTAAAAATATTATTTTAAAAAAGTTTTTTGTTTGTACCTAATATTATTTTTTATTTTATTTTTTATTTTAAAAACACAATATAACACAATAATATTTCGTTTTTTTTTTAAAGATATTGAATATAAAACAATGTAATTCTATTGGTTGGTGAACCTCTAGGTTTATTACTAGAGGTTCATAATTTATTACTATAGTTTTATTTACAATTGTTTTCCGAATTAGATTCCAAAGTAGAGTTATTAGCAAATTGAATCTAATTAAACCGGTTCATTTCTCACTGGCTCGGTCACCGGTCCTTTTGAACAGAACAAACACTCTGTCTCTTCACTAACAAGTCTCACCGAAGCAAAGTGAAGAATGGCACTTTGTTCTTCATCGTCTTCGTCTTCTCAGAAAGCATGGATTGTTCACGGGATCTTGGCTGGAACAGCAATTGCTGCGGCGATAGGCGCACATGCGTATCTCGGTCGATGCAGGAAATTCCGGAGCCGGGTCGTGGGGATCATACCCGCCCGTTATGCTTCCTCCCGATTCGAGGGTAAGCCTCTCGTGCAAATCCTCGGCAAACCCATGATCCAGGTTCCTCCTTTATGTACGATAGTATGAATCTCTGTGATGGATCTGATGACCTAGTTACTTACTGCCTTAATCTGGGATCTGTTCTTATTTTCAAACAGAGAACTTGGGAGAGGTCCAAGTTAGCTTCTACGCTTGATCACGTTGGTAATGTAGCTCACATCTCTAATAAGATATGTCTACTTTATGAACATCTCTTCTATGATCCTTAACTTGTTTCTATCAGTTGTGGCCACGGATGATGAAAGGATCGCTGATTGCTGTCGTGGATTCGGTGCTGATGTCATCATGACTTCAGAGTCTTGCAGAAATGGTCTGTATATATCATTTTCGTTTCTTTTTCTTTTGGTGAATATAATTCCCTCCCTCCCTGCCTTAAGCTCTTTTATCATTTGGATAGGCACTGAACGCTGCAACGAAGCACTAGAGAAGCTGGAGAAGGAGTATGATGTGGTTGTTAACATTCAAGGTGATGAACCACTCATTGAGCCTGAGATTATAGACGGTGTTGTCAAAGCACTTCAGGTCCTCCTTAATAAATATTATTTTCCTCCTCAATTCGTTTATTTTTGTTTTCTTAAAAAGGCTATTAAATAGTGTTCCTATGGTAGGTAGCACCTGATGCAGTGTTCAGCACAGCGGTGACATCATTGAAACCAGAAGACGGGCTTGATCCTAACCGAGTCAAATGTGTTGTGGACAACCATGGCTATGCTATCTATTTCTCCAGGGGCTTGATTCCTTTTAACAAGTAATTCTTCTTTAATTGTTTTCTGTGTTTGCCAACAAGTAATCTTTTATGTTTTTGTCTTCTGTGTATTGGTAACGCTATAGTGATCCTATGGTTGTGTATTTATATATACGCTATGTAACAAGTAATCAATTATGTATTTTTTTTTTGTTCTTTTTGTTTTTGGCGGTTTAGGAGTGGTGGAGTCAATCCAGATTTCCCGTATATGCTTCATCTTGGAATTCAGGTATTGACCACTCAGTTTCTCACATTATATATGTGATCCACTTCTTCTATTATGATCTAATAAATCTCGATACGTTTGTTTCGCCTCAGAGCTTTGATTCGAAGTTTCTGAAAGTATATTCGGAGCTTCAACCAACGCCATTGCAGCTAGAAGAGGATCTAGAGCAGCTTAAAGTCCTTGAGAATGGCTACAAGATGAAGGTTACATAACCCTTTCCAACTATTTTGATAAAACTCTTTCACCTAAATAGTAAACAAGGAACAAACTTGTAATTCAAGGTTGAAATGTTTGGTTGTCACAGGTTATAAAGGTGGACCATGAAGCGCATGGAGTTGATACACCCGAAGATGTCGAAAAGATTGAATCTTTAATGCGCGAAAGAAACATGTCTTAGACCTCAAAATCCGTATCTTGCTTTCAAGTTGTTATACATGAACTCTTGTCCTTGTTCTATAATATAGTTTTTCTTTGTTATTTATTTGAAACTAATTCCTGGACAACGAGAGTTAACTTACACTTATCTTTTGTAATCTAATGGAGTAGTATAATACTCCATCCTTTTTTAACTATATGATATTTTGGATTAGTGGACAAAGTTTAAGAAACTTATTTTCTACTAAAAATTATTTTTAAAGATATAATTTTAAAATTTAATTGGTCACACAGTTTCTAACAAAATTAAAATTAGTTTTAAAACAATATCAGCTTTCGTGGATTAGAACCGTTAAATAAGTTGTCATGGCTTTGGTTAAATATATGAGTTAAATAACCCGTTTAAGTCACTATCTTTGTGATGGAGAACATTAGTGCATCTTTATGAGTGAGAGTATATTTGTGCATGTTAAACCAAATATATTTAGCACCGTTACATATTTTATTGTTCTACATTATTATTATTTTATTAAAATTTCAATTTTAAAAACGACTCTGTAGTGAAGAATTTTGTTTGATCTACGACAAACATAATATATCTACATCTTAGTTTTGAATGAGTACGTATTTTTAGCATGCAAAATACAAGGAAAGTCCCTACTAGCATGCAAAAGTACGCTGTCTGTAAAATCTGCTTTTTAAAGTTCTTTAAATCATTGATATAATAACATTTGCAATTTAGCAACAACTGATCGAACGGAGTTTCTTATCAATTACTCAAAATCCTCAATAGCGTCTATTTGAAAAGCACTTTCTTGTTCGGTTTCAAAACAATTTTCTTTCTTTCTTGACCAAAAAAAAAACAATTCTTGATCATGTTCCACATATGCAACAGAATCTTGAAAGTTGTTTTCACATATGGTTTGTTGCTACCAAGTAAATCTCCCTACTTGATCATGTGATGCTCATGACTCTTTGAGCCAATATTCTATGCACATTTTCAGGTAGAATCAATCTCCAACGTATAAAAATTGAGTGATCTTCAATCAAACAAATTCAGCTCTACAAGAAGAAA